TCTGTAATAATCAAGACTTGTTTTGACTCAACTTGGTTTTCCTTATACGTAAGTCCTAGGCTTTTAGTTACACTACATTAATGTTTATGATATTGTGATAAATAAACTCAATACCAACAGTCAGAAATATACAACTTTCTACTGCAGTAATATTAAAGTTAAGTATGCATTTTACAGTGTAACATTAAATGTTGATATTGAAAGTCATGTAGGGATGATCTATGTATAACTGTATCATCCCTATATTCTTGTTCACATTCTTTTGGGCACTGCCATCCCTACATCATTTTACATTTACAAAATTCTTTTATTACTTGTTTTGTGACGTTTTTCCTCCTGACTGAAAGTTAGTGTATGATACGAATGTGTGTAATGTATTACGTGTATTGATTGTTTATTCCTTCACTCCATACATAATATAGGGGTTAACCTCCTTAAACACATCGACTGTATAGTGTACAAAGCATTGAATATTCTACATCTTACAAACATCTAATGCTCATCTATTATTGGCTGGTAATTCCTGTTTCATCCTGTACTTGAGCTTTTTAAAGGAACACCAGATCTCTGTGAAAAACTAACGCGGTAATAAAAATATCGTTTACACTAGAATTATGATTTTTTGTTAAAATTACTACTAGTTATTACGACTAAGCAATTACATCGCGCACTGCCCATAAACACAAAGAGTGGATTTAGGTTCAAACTGGCATTAGTGATAAAGTAATTGTAGAGTTATCTCGACTGAAAGAAGAAGAAGAAAGATGAACAACATGGTGGGTTGGTTACTTCCTTGTTTGGTATCTTAGCGATAGTTTCTTGCCTTGTTTTGGGGATTGTTGGGTAAAGAAACAAATGAAAGTGAGTGGCAATCATCTTTGAAAGTAAAATTCTCTTGATTTTTTTTAGCGTGTATATTTGTATGATGCCTATTGAGTACCTTGGCATCCCTACATATAGAGTCTACCGACTCTATGATATGGGATTTGTTGAATGGCCAGTAACTTGCACTTTATATCACACGAATGAACATTATCACACCAATAAATTGATTGAAAGACATTATATTATAACCATAATTTTGCGTTGCCATAGTTTAATGTTATAAATTTTGAGTATTCCTTAACTGATTTTCTATCTTCTTTGAGATAGTTTGTTTAAAATAATTAAGCTAAAAGCAAATATACTCGATTTAAGAGTGACTTATTTAAAAACCCAATGCGTCTAAAAACGACATATTAGCCAATTTTGTTTTAATCCGTCAACAATTCGTACTCATATTTTTACAGCTACAAAAAATAGTAAAATCGCTGTTTAATTTATCTGTAGGTTCTTCTTCTACAAATAAATCACTCAACACATTCAGTAAAGCAGAAAGTTCCCATGGGTCTATGAAAAATAACTGTTGTCATGGAAGACGTTAGATAAATATGCTTTTAGGGGTAAAGTACATAATAAACCCAAAAGATATGTGTAGTTAGTGTCTAGACGCTTAGCAAACTTCACACTGTTTGTAATTTACCACGTGGAAGTGAAACTAATGACGACATTACCGTCCGTAGAACTTGTGTCATCTTAACCCAAGTCTTTACTCTAGAATGTATATATATATATATAGCAAAAACATAATTTTATAATTTACAATAGTCAGTGAAAGACCACCAGGAATATCTCCTGTTATGTCAGTACTCAAGCTTCTTTCGGAGGGGATCAGTACGGTTATATTTCTCTGTAAACACTCTAGCTCCACAATGTCTATCATTCAGTACTGTAGTATGTAAAAAGCTCGTTCAGTGTCAACACCAAAACCACTTTGAGACCTTCAGGATTAGAACCGTATTATCTAAGTCAATTATTATCTGTTTAAAACTGCCATGCTTTGAAAACCATTATTAAGATCTGATTTAGTTAATGATTATCTGTTTAAAATTGTCAGGCTTCGAAAACTATTATTAAGATCTGATTAAGTTAATGATTATCTGTTTAAAACAGCCAGGCTTTGAAAACCCTTATTAAGATCTGCTTTAGTTAATGATTATCTGTTTAAAACAGCCAAGCTTGGAAAAACCAGTATTAAGATTTGCTTGTTTGTTGCAATTTATTTTAAAAAATAACAAATACCGTAACTAATGTTTAATGTTGAAATTCATCAGCATTTATACGCCTCACGTTTTTCTATAAGTAATTATCTTTTCACTCTGACAGCTGAAGTTTAGCACATGAACAAAATATGCCGTTTTTTTCGGCACAACATCTTGAATGACATCGTACAGAACTATATATATATATATATACGTTACAACAGCGGAAGTCACGTGACGCTGGGAGCATGCGTGCTGGAGTTTTT